GTATTGCATGTCAGGAGTACTAGAAGACTCAAAGATTGACAAATGTGAAAGAGCATAGTATTTCCTGCAGTAGGAGAAAAAGATAGAGAAGTTGGCCTCCGTACTGGGAAGAAACCGCGAAAACGTACGACACAAGAACAACTTGTCAACAACTTTTCAACAATTGGACACGCTATTTCCTGTTTACCAAATGTTTTATCAGCGTTGATTTCCTTCACTTACGGTGGAACACATGACTCCCCCCCCACAAACAGTTTATTAACACAGTTCCAACTATTGGAAAAAGGGGTCCACATGTGACCATCCTGTCATAAAATTTACCACAAAATTTCTGTTGACCTGAACCCTGCGCCTCCAAATGTCCGAGCGTACAACCATTCGACCATCTTGTCGTCACCCTATCATTGCACCGCGCCATCCGATGGTCGGGCTTCAACGCGACACCCTACCATCCTATGGCGGGGCTTCAACGCGACACCCTACCATCCGATGGTCGGGCTTCAACGCGACACCCCTCCATACGGTGGTCGAGCTCCACCGCTCCACCCGACCGTCCTGCCACTCTGCCATCCTTCAACCCTGCCATCCTGTCGTCCTGCCGCCCGACCATCCTCCCATCTTGCCATTCTGCCATTCTGCCATCTTGCCATCCTCCCATCCTGCCACCCGACCATCTAGCCTTCTATCAATTTTACAATCCGACCATCCCACCTTCCAGCAATTTCACAATCCGACCCTCCGACCATTGGACTGTCCAAGCATTGTGCTATCCGACCAGCCTAACCTGAATCCTGTACCTTCAAACGTCCGACCCTACACCCATTTGACCATCTCACCATTACCCTGTTGTTGCACCGTGCCCTCCGATGGTCGGGCTTCAACGGACATCCTACCATCCGATGGCGGGGCTTCAACGCGGCACCCCACCATCTGATGGTCGGGCTTCAACGCGACACCCCACCATACGATGGTCGAGCTTCACCACTCGACCCGACCGTCCTGCCATCCTACAACACTGCCATCCTGCCATCCTGCGCCTGACCATCCTCCCATCTTGCCATTCCGTCATTCTGCCATCCTCCCATCCTCCCATCCTCCCATCCTCCCATCCTCCCATCCCACCACCCGACCATCCGACCATCCGACCATCTGGGCGGCTGACCATCCTGCCACCCGACCATCCCGCCCTCTAGCAATTCTACAATCCGACCATCCGACCATCCCGCCTTCTGCCGTCGTGCCATCCGACCAGCCTAACATGAACCCTATGCCTCCAAACGTCCGAGCGTACAACCATTCGACCATCTCGCCATCACCCTATCGTTGCACCGCGCCATCCGATGGTCGGACTTCAACGCTACACCCTACCATCCGATGGCGGGGCTTCAACGCGACACTCTACCATCCGATGGTCGGGCTTCAACGCGACACCCCACCATACGATGGTCGAGCTCCATTGCTCCACCCGACCATCCTGCCACCCTGCCATCCTTCAACCCTGCCATCCTGCCGTCCTGCCGCCCGACCATCCTCCCATCGCGCCATTCCGCCATTCTGCCGTCTTGCCATCCTCCCATCCTGCCACCCGACCACCCGACCATCCCGCCTTCTATCAATTTTACAATCCGACCATCTCGCCTTCCAGTAATTTCACAATCCGACCGTCCGACCATTGGACTGTCCAACCATTGTGCCATCTGAGCAGCCTAACCTGAACCCTGTACCTTCAAACGTCCGACCGTACACGCATTCGACCATCTCGCCATCACCCTGTCATTGCACTGCGCCATCCGATGGTCGGGCTTCAACGCGGCACCCTACCATCCGATGGCGGGGCTTCAACGCGACACCCCACCATGCGATGGTCGGGCTTCAACGAGACACCCCACCATCCGATGGTTGGGCTTCAACGCGACACCTACCATACGATGGCGGGGCTTCAAGGCGACACCCTACCATCCGATGGTCGGGCTTCAACGCGACACCCCACCATACGATGGTCGAGCTCGACCGCTCCACCCGACGGTCCTGCCACCCTGCTATCCTTCAACCCTGCCATCATGTCGTACTGCCGCCTGACCATCCTCCCATTCTGCCATTCCGCCATTCTGCCATCATGCCATCCTCCCATCCTCCCATCCTCCCATCCTCCCATCCTCCCATCCCACCACCCGACCATCCAACCAGTCGGGCAGCTGACCATACTGCCACCCGACCACTCCACAGTCCCACCATCCGACCACACGACCATCCTGCAATCCTGCCATCCAAGCATCCTGTCATCCTCGCATCCTGCCGCCCTTCCATCCTTCCATCCTGCAATCCGACCACCCGACCATCCTACGTTCTAGCAATTTCACAACCCCATCATCCGACCATTCGGATGGTCGACCTTCACCGCTCCACCCTACAATCCTGCCATCCTTACATCCTGACATCCGACCATCAAACCATCCCAGTAACCGACCATCCTCCCATCCGAGGACCCGACCTTGAACCCTAAACCCTAAACCCTAGATGACCTTGAACCCTAAATCCTGTTATCCTGCCATCCTGTCATCCGACCACCCGACCATCCAACCTTTCTGCCATCCCGCCACCGGACGAACTGACCGTCCTGCTGTCCGACCATCCCATCGTCCTGCCATCCGACCGCCCGACCATCCTGCAGCCTTGCCATCCAAACATCCTACCATCCAACCATCCTGCCATCCTCGCATCCTGCCATCCGACCTTCCTGCCATTCTGCCATCCTGTTGTCTGGCCTTCAACCCTAGACTCTGAATCACCAACGACCGAGTGTCAGACCATCCATTCGACCGTCCCACCATCCAACCTTCCTGCCGTCCTACCATCCGACCAACCGACCATCCAACCAACCCGCCATCCATCCGGCCGTACGGCTAACCCGCCGTCCTGCCATCCGACCACCCGACCGTCCTGCCACCCAGCCCCCAGACCATCCTGCCGTGCAACCATCCTGCCCTCCTGCCATCCTGCAACCCTGCCATCCTGCTGTCCCGCCCATTCTGCCATCCTGCCACCTCATCATGAGACCATCATGCCTTCCTGCCATCTTGCCATCCTCCCATCCTGCCATTCTACCACCCGACCATGCAACCATCCGGGGAGTCCGACCCGACCAGAACCCTACACCCTGCACCTTCCGTGGAATCGGACCCGACCTTGAACCCTAAACCCTTGACCCTGAACCACACACGATCGACCGTCCAACCAAGCGACCTTCCCGACATCCTGCAATCGGACCACCCGACCATCCAACCATCCTGCCATCCCGCCACCCGACCAACCGACCATCCTGCCATGCGACCACCCCACCGTCCTGCCATCCGGCCACCGGACCATCCTGTCGTCGTGCCATCCGAACATCCTGCCATCCTAGCATCCTGCCAACCTGACCGTCCCGCCATCCTGCCAGCCGACCATCCTGCCATCCAACCATCCGACCATCCCGCCATCCAACAATTTTACAATCCGACCGTCCGACCATCCGGCTGTCCAACCATCCTGGCAGTCGACGAGCCTGACCTGAACCCTAAACCACAAACGACTGGTCATCCAACCATCTATTCGACCGTCGAACCACCCGACCATCCTGCCATCCTGCCATCCGACCGTCCTTCCATTCTGACATCCGACCATGCACGAGAAAGTCGCACTGTCCGACTATCCGGCCAGCCAACCACCCTGCCATCCGAACGGTCGGCCACCCCGCCGTCCTGCCATCCAACCATCCAACCGTTCGACCACCCAATGGGTCCTGCCATCCGGCCATCCCGCCGGCCAACAATTTCACAGTCCGGCCGTTCGACCATTCGACCACACTCACCTGAACCTGAACCTTCGAACATCCGACCGCACGACTGTTCGACCATGTCGCCATCATCCTGTCGTTGCACCGCACTGTCCTACCATCCGATGGTCGCGCTTCAACGCGGCACCCCACCATCCGGTGGTCGGGCTTCAACGCGACAACCCCCCATCTGATGGTCGGGCTTCAACGCGACACCCCACCATACATCTTTCCGCTGCACGTTGTCTTTACGCTGCCCATCCTCGCCGACCGTCCCTCTTTCCGCCGTTCGTATGTACCTGCCATCGCACCATCACACAGTCCATCCTTCCAACCATCCCTCCTCCTCGGCATTCCTACGAACCCACTCTTACCGCCGTCGCGTCGTCCACCCTTCCCAGTACCCGCCCTCCCCGCCCATCCACCTTTTTTGGCACCCACTCTTCCCACCGTCCACCCTCCCCCCGGCCCACCCTTCCCACTGTCCACCCTCCCTGTCACCCACCCTTCCCGCCATCAAGGCTTCCGCCCATGCACCCTTCCCGCCCCTCTCTTCTCGCCATCCACTCTTCTCGCCATCAATCTTCTCGCCATCCACTTTTTCCGCCATCCACTTTCTTCGCCATGCACTCTTGTCGCCATCCACTGTTCCACCATCTGGCAATCCGCTCTTCCACTGTTCTCGCCATCAATCATTGTTCTCGCCATCCACTGTCCCCACCATCTGGCAATATATCCGCTCTTCCACTCGTCTCGCCATCCGCCCTCCCCGCCACCCACCCTTCCCACTGTCCACCCTCCCTGTCACCCACCCTTCCCGCCATCAAGGCTTTCGTCCATGCACCCTTCTCGCCCCACTCTTCTCGCCATCCACTATTCTCGCCATCCACTATTATCGCCATCAATCTTCTCGCCATCCACTCTTTCCGCCATCCACTCTCTTCGCCATGCACTCTTTTGTCCATGCACTGTCCCTAACATCTAACAATCCACTCTTCCACTCTTCTCGCCATCAGTCATTGTTCTCACCATCCACTGTCCCCACCATCTGGCAATCTAGTCGCTCTTCCACTCTTCTCGTCATCCACTCCTCCCGCCATTCACCCTTCACTCCATCCGCTCATCCCGCCATCCACTCTTCCCATCGTCTGGCAATGTGGCCGTGACCAACAAACGTGGACGAATTCGGGCGACCTCAACGGCGAAAACCCCGTACGTTTTCTTTTTTGCATGCGCACCAGAAAAAATTGTGCAGCATCGCCGACACACGAGCATTTGCATGCACGAAGGGACATTTTAAAGTTTTCAAAGCAAAACGATGTTGCCAAAGTGCGGTAAGGAACATGACGTGCGAAGGGTGGCACGTCATGTGCATGCACGAAGGAACTTCTTAAAGCATGCTAAGAAAAAGGATGTTGCTCTACAAAGATGTAACCCCTGCTGCTCCTGTTGAAGCATTCGGTCGTGTCAGCTGCCAATGTGATCAAGGCTATTTGCAACTTTGCCCTCCAATTGAATTTCGGTACTATTACGCACTATCCAGAGACCAAATTCATTCCACCCATTCAAGGATTTCCCGCACACCGTGCAGTTCCATCTTTGTAGTCACCAAGAAAGGAAGGAGAAAAAAAACAACAAGAAAGCACAAAAAATTTAGAATGGAAAAGTGAAAAGTTTTAGAAGGTCCAAGAAATCCACCGAAATGAATTGACTGAATGGAAACCTGTAGCTTATACCCAAGGCATCAAAGATGCAGTTTCCACGCGAACCACCTCGAAAAGAACGCATGGCCAACCCGAACGCTCCAAGAAACAAAAAAAAAAAACGAAGAAAATCAAGAACTTGAAAGGAGGTTGGCCATATGGCAGGGGACGAAGCCGGCGTGGACGCATGAGTTCGACGAAGGCAAAGATGAAAAAAAAAAAAAAAAAATTATTGCTCACCTCTCAGCCTGTAGTTCCCTGCGTCGTGCGAGAGGACAACCTGGGTGCACTGGGAATGTTCGGCGCGAACGCGGCGTGTAAGGCGGAGATAGGTTCGGCGTGAGAGAAACGACACTGGTGGGCGAAGGAGTGGTGGGAGAGCAGTGCACGAGGCGTGTGAGACGGAGGTGCTAGCGATGGAGACAACGCACAAAACCGTCAGTTTGTCTTGTCCATGGTGGAGAAAGGAAAGACCATGCGACGAGGACCGGACGTCCGCCAGTTTTTTCCAGGCCAAGCAGAATTGAAAGGGGCGGAGAAAAAAAAATGGACGGGCCCAAACAGCAAAACGGAGGAAGCCTGTTTTTTTTTTTTTTTTAACTGCAGTCTTATCTAAACTTGTTTTCACCCCGCACTACCCACCTGCCACTACTTCTAATTGCAGGTATACGGGTCTGTTTTTCAGGGGAACTGAAAAATGCTCCGAAACAAGGGGCCGACCCGCACCCCGGTGAAAGCGACAAAACAACAGACGTGGGGGGTGGGGGGGGGAAGGGGCCTCTTTTATTTCCCCCCCTTGGTTTGCCGTTTTCCAGGGCCGGGCCCAGTCTAATTCTCCATCATATCTGCCCGAAAGTTTCGGTACGCAAATGCAGCCCGCAAATGCAGCATCGCCTTGCCGACAGTGTCGTGGACAACTGTTCCATTGCTCCTCCACAGTGGTGACGGCAACACTGCAGTCCGAACCTCACGCGTCGCCTGCCATTCGCGCGATTGCCCCTGCGGCAACTTCCGGGCTCTTGTTCAGCAACTGCGACCGTGGCAATAGCGCAGCCCGCAGTCGAAGGGTTCGACGTCTCCCTCCCGTTGTCTTGTCATCCTCCACCATCTCCGACGTTCTTCTAATTCCGCAGTTCTGTGTAGTTCTTCAACAGTCGAAGGGTTATCTTACCGGCGGCACGCTCTTGGCAGTCCTCCATGGCAAGCAAAGGCGATCTCTCCCGACCCATCGCCCGAGAATCTATGCATTCCTCTTCTTCTTCGTCCTCCTCATCCTTCTCCTCGTCCTCCTCCTCGTCCACTTCCTCCTCCTCCTCGTCTTGTTGTTGTTCTTCTTCTTCTTCCTCCTCCTCCTCAGTTGCCACCTGCCCAGGATCTGCCGACGTATCCATCGTGCATAGTTGCTATGCGCTCTTCTACCCTGCACACGCTGTATATAACAGGAGGAGGAGGAGGAAGGATGACGAGGAGGAGGAAGGATGACGAGGAGGAGGAGGAGGAGGAGGAGGAGGAGGAGGAGGAGAAGGCGGAGGAGCAAGAGGAGGAAGATAACGAGGACGACGAGGGGGAGGACGAAGAAGACGAGGCGGAGGAGGACGAGGAGGAGAGGGACGAGGAGGAGCAGGAGAGGAGGAGGCGACAAAAGGGGGGTCAGGGGAGGAGGGGGGTCACGGGAGGAGGGGGGTCAGGGGAGGAGTGGACAGTGACTCACGTTTCCGCTGTATCGTTCTCATACAGATGGTTTCTTGGTTCGAATGTGCTATTTGGTGTTTGCTTGAGTACTTGGACTTTAGCGGGATTTGCAATTCGGATTTCTGTACTTCGTTCACATTCATGTTCCTTGCAAATCAATGAATTGAAATTCATCCAATCAAACAAATCGATCCGATCGGATCTTGATTTTCAAGATCCAATCGAATCGATTTGTTCGATTGGACACTTTTTTTTTCGTCTTCTTTTTTATTGATTGATTGATCGAGTAGTCGGAAAAAAAAAAAAAAAAAAAAATCGGAAAAGGAGGAGGAGGAGGAGGAGGATGGTAAGGAGGAAGACGACAACGAGGAGGAGGAGGAGGAGGAGGAAGAGGAGGAGGAGGAGGAGGATGGCGAGGAGGAGGACGGCGAAGAGGAGGAGAAGGAGGAAGACAACGAGGATCGCGAGGGGGAGGAGAAAGAAGACGAGGCGGAGGAGGACGAGGAGGAGATGGAGGAGGGGGAGGAACAGGAGAGGAGGAGGCGGCGAAAGGGGGGTCAGGGGAGGAGGGGGGTTAGGGGATGAGGGGGGTCAGGGGAGGAGTGGACAGCGACTCACGTTTCCGCTGTACCGTTCTCATACGAATGGTTTCTTGGTTCGAATGTGCTATCTGGTCTTTGTTTGAGTACTTGGACTTAAGCGCGATTTGCAATTCGGATTTTTGTACTTCGTTCACATTCATGTTCCTTGCAAATCAATCAATCGAAAAAAAAAAAAAAAAAAAAAAAAAAAAAAAAAAAAAAAAAAAAATCCAAACAAACAAATCCATCCGATCGGATCTTGATTTCCAAGATCCAATCGAATCGATTTGTTCGATTGGACACTTTTTTTTTCGTCTTCTTTTTGATTGATTAATTGATCGATCAATTGACCACAAAAAAAACAAAACGGAGGAGGAGGAGGAGGAGGAGGAGGATGGCGAGGAGCAAGACGAGGAGGAGGAAGAGGATGACGAGGAGGAGGAGGAGGAGGATGGCGAGGAGGAGGACAACGAAGAGGAGGAGAAGGAGGAAGATAATGAGGATCACGAGGGGGAGGAGATAGAAAACAAGGCGGAGGAGAACGAGGAGGAGAGGGCGGAGGGGAGGAGCAGGAGAGGAGGAGGCGGTGAAAGGGGGGTTTGCAATTCGGATTTTTGTACTTCGTTCACATTCATGTTCCTTGCAAATCAATCAATCGAAAACCATCCAATCAAACAAAACTATCCGATCGGATCTTGATTTCCAAGATCCAATTGAATCCATTTGTTCGATTGGACTTTTTTTTTTCGTCTTCTTTTTCATGGATTGATTGATCGATTAATCGACAAAAAAAAAAAAAAAAACGGAGGAGGAGGAGGAGGAGGAGGATGGCGAGGAGGAAGACGAGGAGGAGGAAGAGAAGGACGAGGAGGAGGAGGACGAGGAGGAGGAGGACGAGGAGGAGGAGGACGACGAGGAGGAGGACGAGGAGGAGGAGGACGAGGAGGAGGAGGACGAGGAGGAGGAGGACGACGAGGAGGAGGACGACGAGGAGGAGGACGACGAGGAGGAGGACGACGAGGAGGAGGACGACGAGGAGGAGGCTGGCGAGGAGGAGGACGACGAAGAGGAGGAGAAGGAGGAAGAGGACGAGGATCACGAGGGGGAGGAGAAAGAAGACGAGGCGGAGGAGAACGAGGAGGAGAGGGAGGAGGGGGAGGAGCAGGAGAGGAGGAGACGACGAAAGAGGGGGTTGCAATGCAGATTTTTGTACTTCGTTCACATTCATGTTCCTTGCAAATCAATTAATCGACAACCATCCAATCAAACAAATCGATCCGATCAGATCTTGATTTCCAAGATCCAATCGAATCGATTTGTTTGATTGGACACTTTTTTTTTTTCATCTCCTTCCTTATTGATTAATTGATCGGTCAATCGACCAAGAAAAAAAAAAACGGAGAAGGAGGAGGAGGAGGAGGAGGATGGCGAGGAGGAAGACGCGGAGGAGGAAGAGGATGACGAGGAGGAGGAAGAGGAGGAGGAGGAGGAGGAGGAGGAGGATGGCGAGGAGGAGGACGACGAAGAGGAGGAGAACGAGGAAGAGAACGAGGATCACGAGGGGGAGGAGAAAGAAGATGAGGCGGAGGAGAACGAGGAGGAGAGGGAGGAGGGGGAGGAGCAGGAGAGGAGGAGCAGGAGAGGAGGAGGCGGGGAGAGGGGGGTTTGCAATTCGGATTTTCGTACTTAGTTCACATTCATGTTCCTTGCAAATCAATCAATCGAAATCCATCCAATCAAACAAATCGATCCGATCGGATCTTGATTTCCAAGATCCAATCGAATTGATTTGTTCAATTGGACACTTTTTTTTTTGGTCTTCTTTTTTATTGATTAATTGATCGATTAATCGACCGAAAAACAAAAAAAAAACGGAGAAGGAGGAGGAGGAGGAGGAGGAGGATGGCGAGGAGGAGGAGGAGGAGGAGGATGGCGAGGAGGAGAAGGAGGAGGATGACGAGGAGGAAGACGAGGAGGAGGAAGAGGATGACGAGGAGGAGGAGTGGACAGCGACTCACGTTTGCTCTGTATCGTTCTCATACGGATGTTTCTTTGGTTCCAATGTGTTTTCTGCTTTTTGCTTCAATACTTCGACTTCAGCGGGATTTGCAATTCGGATTTCTGTACTTAGTTCACATTCATGTTCCTTACGAATCAATCAATCGAAAAAAAAAAAAAAAAAACAAACAAACAAACAAACATCCAATCAAACAAATCGATCAGATCGGATCTTGATTTTCAAGATCCAAGCGAATCGATTTGTTCGTTTGGGCACTTTTTTTTTTTCGTCTTCTCTTTGATTGATTGATTGATCGATTAATCGACAAAAAAAAAAACGGAGGAGGACGAGGATGATGGCAAGGAGGAAGACGAGGAGGAGGGGGAGGAGGAGGATGGCGAGAAGGACGACGAAAGTCGATGGTTGCCCCGTTCGCACCATCAGGCGCCGAGGCGACAGTCGATGGTCGCCCTGTCCACACCGTCGACCGGACCATCGAGCGTTGACGCGACACCCGATGGTCGGGCGTCGCCTCGCCGCACGAGGGTCGGGCCCGATGTGGATGGTTTCTTGGTTCCAATGTGCTATCTGCTCTTTGCTTGACTACTTGGACTTCGGCGTGATTTGCAATCTGGATTTTTGCACTTCAGGAACACATGCATGGTTTCTTGGTTCCAATGTGCTATCTGCTCTTTGCTTGACCGCTTGGACTTCAGCGCGATTTGCAATTGTAAACAATGTGCTATCTGCTCTTTGCTCGACTACTTGGTTCCAATGTGCTGTCGTTCTCACATGGATGGTTTCTTGCTTGGCACCATCGGGCGCCGTGGCGACAGCCGATGGTCGCCCCATTCACACCATTAGGCGCCACGGCGATGGCTGATGGTCGCCTAGTTCACACCATCGGGCGCCGCGGTGACAACCAATGGTCGCCCCGTTCACTCCATCGCGCGCCACAGCGACAGTCGATGGTCGCCCCGTCCACAGCGTCGACCGGACCATCGAGCGCCGACGAGACACCGAATGGTCGGGTGTCCCCTCACCGCACGAGGGCCGGGCCCGATGTGGATGGTTTCTTGGTTCCAATGTGCTATCTGCTCTTTGCTTGATTACTTGGACATCAGCGTGATTTGCAATTTGGATTTTCGCACTTCGGTCACACATGCATGTTTTCTTGGTTCCAATGTGCTATTTGCTCTTTGCTTACCCGCTTGGACTTCAGCGCGATTTGCAATTGGACCCAAATGTGCTATCTCCTCTTTGCTTGACTACTTGGTTCCAATTTGTTGTCGTTCTGATATGGATGGATTCTTGCTTGGCATCATCGGGCGCTAAGGCGAAAGTCGACGATCGCCCCGTTCACACCATCGGGCGCCGTGGCGACACCCGATGGTCGCCCCGTTCGCACCATCGGGCGCCGTGGCGACAGCCGATAGTCGCCCCGTCCACACCGTCGACCGGACCATCGAGCGCCGACACGGCACGCAATGGTTGGTTGTCGCCTCGCCGCACGAGGGTTGGGCCCGATGTGGATGGCTTCTCGTTTCCAATGTGCTATCTGCTCTTTGCTTGACTACTTGGCCTTCAACGCGATTTGCAATTTGCATTTTTGCACTTCGGTCACACATGCATGGTTTCTTAGTTCCAATGTGCTATCTGCTCTTTGCTTGACCGGTTGGACTTCAGCGGGATTTGCAATTGGAACCAATGTGCTATCTGCTCTTTGCTCGACTACTTGGTTCCAATGTGTTGTCGTTCTCATATGGATCGTTTTTTGCTTGGCACTACCAGGCGCCGAGGCGACAGCCGATGGTCACCCCGTTCACACCATCGGGCGGCGAGGCGACAACCGATGGTCGCCCCGTTCACACCATTGGGCGCCGTGGCGACAGCCGATGGTCGCCCCCTCCACACCCTCGACCGGACGGACCATCGAGCGTCGACACGACACTCATTGGTCGGGCATCACCTCGCGTCACGAGGGCCTGACCCGAGGTGGATGGTTTCTTCGTTCGAATGTGCTATTTGCTCTTTGCTTGACTACTTGGACTTCAGTGTGATTTGCAATTTGGATTTTCGCTCTTCGGTCACACATGCTCTTTGCTTCATTACTTGGACTTCAGCGTGATTTGCAATTTGGATTTTTTCACTTCGGTTCCACATGCATGGTTTCTTGGTTCCAATGTGCTATCTGCTCTTTGCTTGACCGCTTGGACTTCAGCGCGATTTGCAATTGGAACCAATGTGCTATCTGCTCTTTGCTCGACTACTTGGTTCCAATGTGTTGTCGTTCTCACATGGATGTTTTTTTGCTTGGCACCATCGGGTGCAGAGGCGATAGCCGATGGTCGCCCCATTCACACCATTGGGCGCCGCGGCAACAGCCGATGGTCACCCCGTTCACACCATCGGGCGCCGGAGCGACAACCGATGGTCGCCCTGTCCACACCGTCGACCGGACCATTGAGCGTCGACCCGAAACCCAATGGTCGGGCATCGCCTCGCCGCACGAGGGCCTGACCCGATGTGGATGGTTTCTTGGTTCGAATGTGCTATTTGCTCTTTGCTTGACGACTTGGACTTCAGCGTGATTTGCAATTTGGAGTTTTGCACTTCGGTCACACATGCTCTTTGCTTCACTACTTGGACTTCAGCGTGATTTGCAATTTGGATTTTTGCACTTCTATCACACATGCATGGTTTCTTGGTTCCAATGTGCTATCTGCTCTTTGCTTGACCGCTTGGACTTCAGCGCACTTTGCAATTGGAACCAATGTGTTATGTGTTCTTTGCTCGAATACTTGGTTCCAATGTGTTGTCGTTCTCATATGGATGGTTTCTTGCTTGGCAGCATCGGGCGACGAGGCGACAACCGATGGTCGCCCTGTTCACACCATCGGGCGCCGAGGCGACAACCAATGGTCGCCCCGTTCACACCATCGAACGCCGCAGCAAGAGAAGATCGTCGCTTTGTCCACACCGTCGACCAGACCATCAAGCGTCGACGCGACACCCAATGGTCCGGCATCGCCTCGCTGCACGAGGGTCTGGCCCGATGTGGATGGTTTCTTGGTTTAAATGTGCTATTTGCTCTTTGCGTGACTACTTGGACTTCATCGTGACTTGCAATTTGGATTTTTGCACTTCGGACACACGTGCTCCTTGCTTGACTACTTTGACTTCAGCGTGATTTGCAATTTGGATTTTTCCACTTCGGTCATACATGCATGGTTTCTTGGTTCCAATGTGATATCTGCTCTTTGCTTAACCGCTTGGACTTCAGCGCGATTTGCGATTGGAACCAATGTGCTATCTGCTCTTTGCTCGACTACTTGGTTCCAGTGTGCTGTCGTTCTCACATGGATGGTTTTTTGCTTGGCACCATCGGGCGCCGCGGCGACAGCCGATGGTCGCCCCGTTCACACCATTGGTCGCCGCGGCGACAGCCGATGGTCAGCTCGTTCACACCATCGGGCGCCGAGGTGACAGCCGATTGTCGCCCCATCCACACCGTCGACCGGACCATCGAGCGTCGATGAGACACCCAATGGTCGGGCATCGCCTCGCCGCACGAGGGTCTGGCCCGATGTGAATGGTTTCTTGGTTCGAATGTGCTATCTGCTCTTTGCTTGACTACTTGGACTTCATTGTGATTTGCAATTTGGGTTTTTGCACTTCGGTCACACATGCACTTTGCTTGACTACTTGGACTTCAGCGTGATTTGCAATTTGGATTTTTGCACTTCGGTTACACATGCATGGTTTCTTGGTTCCAATGTGCTATCTGCTTTCTGCTTGACCGCTTGGACTTCAGCATGATTAGCAATTGGAACCAATGTGCTATCTGCTCTTTGGTCGACTACTTGGTTCCAATGTGATGTCGTTCTGACATGGATGGTTTCGTACTTGGCACCATCCGGCGCCTCGGCGACATTCGATGGTCGCCTCGTTCACACCATTGGGTGCCGAGGCGACAGCCGATGGTCGCCCCGTTCACACCATCAGGCGCCACGGCGGCAGCCGATGGTCGCCCCGTCCACACCGTCGACCGGACCATCGAGCGCCGACGCAACACCCAATGGTTGGGCGTCGCCTCGCCGCACGAGGGCCGGGCCTGATGTGGACGGTTTCTTTGCTTGACTAGTTGGACTTCAACGTGATTTGCAATTTGGTTTTTTGCACTTCAGTCTCACATGCATGGTTTCTTGGTTCCAATGTGCTATCTACTCTTTGCTTGACCTTTCGGACTTCAGAGTGATTTGTGATTGGAACCAAATGTGCTATCTGCTCTTTGCTCGACTACTTGGTTCCAATGTGTTGTCGTTCTCATATGGATGGTTTCTTGCTTGGCACCATCGGGCGCTGCGGCAACAGTCGATGCTCGCCCCGTTCACACCATAGGGCACCGCAGCGACAGTCGATGGTCGCCCCGTTCACACCATCGGGCGTCGCGGCGACAACCGATGGTCGCCTCGTCCACACCGTCGACCGGACGATCGAGCGCCGACGTGACACCCAATGGTCGGGCGTCGCCTCACCGCACGAGGGTCGGGCCCGATGTGGATGGTTTCTTGGTTCCAATGTGCTATCTGCTCTTTGCTTGACTGCTTGGACTTCAGTGTGATTTGCAATTTGGTTTTCTGCACTTCGGTCACACATGCATGGTTTCTTGGTTCCAATGTGCTATCTGCTCTTTGCTTGACCTCTTGGACTTCAGCGCGATTTGCAATTGGAACCAATGTGCTATCTGCTCTTTGCTCAACTACTTGGTTCCAATGTGCTGTCATTCTCATATGGATGGTTTCTTGCTTGGCACCATCAGGCGCCATGGCGACAGCCGATGGTCGCCTTGTCCACACCATCGGGCGTCACGACGACAGTCGATGGTCGCCCCGTCCACACCGTTGACCGGACCATCAAAAGCCGACGAGACACCCAATGGTCAGGCGTCGCCTTGTCGCACGAGGGTCGGGCCCGATGTGGATGGTTTCTCGGTTCCAATGTGCTATCTGCTCTTTGCTTGACTACTTGGACTTCAACTTGATTTGCAATGTGGATTTTTGCACTTCGGTCACACATGCATGGTTTCTTGGTTCCAATGTGCTATCTGCTCTTTGCTTGACCGCTTGGACTTCAGCGCGATTTGCAATTGGAACCAATGTGCTATCT